GCTACGGCTATTGGGCCAACTCCACCAATCAGGAGGAGACAGCCACGGACATTGCCGTTGGAAAGCGCTGGAGACGCTGTAGTACATATGCCAGGCCTGTAGATGGTGCTGTTCTCACAGAATCAGCCCATGCAAAGACAGTTAAATTGAGCGAAATGAGGAATGGCTAAAATTCATGATCTGTTTGGTATTTTGAAAAATAAAAAGTATAAATATGCCTTATATAGGTATGGTCCTACACTATATTATTCAAATATAGCATGATAGGTCCACTTTAACTTAGCTTTTATATCATATACTATTGTGTTTTTATTTGATCTAATGATGGTTTACTTCCTCAGTTGTATCCTTTATTTAGGTTTGTGTTTTTCTAACACTTTGTGCCCATGCAAAATGAAGTGAATGAAGGATTTATGATGCTGTTGCGGTGCTGTAAAAGAAAGGAGAGAAGCAGCTTGACTATACCTTGAATGTGATTGTATTGCTTTACTGTCTTCCAGTCCCTCTCTGTCCCCTTGGGAGTGTTCTCACTGCACCACAGTGAACGAGATGCGAGCCGTGCTCTGCTCCACCTGCGAGCGCCCGCGCCTCTCTACAGCTGCATCCATCGCTCTGGAGAGCCCCATGTTGGTCCCTACCTCTCCCAGCACAGGTGAGACCGAGAGATAACTCAATACAAATACACGTTACTTAAACTGCACCTTTCACAACAAAACTACAAAGTTGAACTTGGCAGTGAAGCTGGAAGAAGTCTTGAGTTTTGCAGGACCGTTTAGCACCATCTGTTGGCTGTGCTGAATACTTTCATCACAGCATATTTGAAAGAGGTTCTTACATGTGCAATAAGTATTAATAAAACTCTGAAAAATGAAGGTATAAGAACACAAGTCCCTCAAGGAAACAAAGTCACTTCATGTGTTACGGTTTGATTGAGCTGTGTCTTCTCCCCCCTCAGATTGGCAGTGTAAGAGCTGCACAGTTGTGAATCAGGGCAGCAGCATCCTGTGTGAGGTGTGTGAGCGCCCCCGTCTGGCCACTCGCCCGCCTGCCGCCTCACTTCTGTCCAGCCTAGGGTCTCTGTTCAGCCCAGCGTCTCTGGCCAGCCCAGCGTCTCTGGCCAGCCCAGCGTCTCTGGCCGAGTCTGGGACAAAGGTTTGTCTTACTGCTGCTGATAAAGCTCGATTCAACTCTTCATTTTTACATTTGAAGACATCAGCATGTTGTTTGGGTTGCTCTTTAACATCCGTTCCTTCAATTAGAAAGAGGAAGATACGACAATGTGCTCTTCAATGTTTCTACTGTGTCTTTTTTTCAGTCTGTTTCACAGTGGATGTGCGAGTTCTGCACCTACGTCAACACACATCCCGTGGTGGTGTGTGAGATGTGCAACCTGTCAGGTAAAGACTCAGCCCAGCCGGCTGCGTCCAGCCCCAAAGAAAAACCCCAGGTGGGAGTAAAGCCTCAACCCAAGCCCAGAGTCAACCTGGATGCCAAAAGACAGAAGATGATGAGAGACGACGGCCTCTATCTCCTCAAGCAGATCAGAGTATGTCAACACAAATGCATCTCCCATTTCCCCCCAAAAAACTGTCCAAAGCCCCAAAGATAGTCTACTCCAGGGGTCGGCAACCTTTTTGCCATTTAAAAAAAAAACGTTGATCAGTGTGCCGACGATCGTGAACTGTCAACAGGAGGGCGGGGGGAGCCTCGCTGCGGGGAAGCAGTGTGTGGACCTGTCAGCGCAACTTACATGATGCCGAATTTAACAAACACATTTAAATAATTGGTTTAAACGGCATTATAATAATGACGACCGTCCGTTCTGTGTAGCATGTTATTTTCGATGAGAGATGAGCAGATCGCCACTGGGCTTTCAACTAAAGACACAGCCACGCAAAAACTGCGGCATGTGTACAGCTCCTTATGGGTACTGCAATTTGTGAAGTGCGGGGGCGCGCTCCGGCAGCACTTCACCCCTGATCGTTTCACCACGTAGGAAAGCAGCAGCAAGTCGACTGGAGTTAAAGAGAGCGGGGCTGCGTTGCGTGCATGGCTTCCTTCTGCAGGTAACGGGGAGACGTTCAGGATCCGAAAATAATATTTAAATATTTTGCACACTTATTCCACTTGTGCCACTGGTTACGGTGCCGCGTGCCACCATTGGCATGCGGCACCGTAACCAGGGGTTGCCGAACCCTGGTCTACTCTATATATTAAAACAGGGAGAAGCAGCAAATCCTCGCCTTCAGTATTGAAATTATTTGCAGGGATTAAATAAAACTACCAGATTCGCTCTGTTTCTCCTTGGTAGGAAGCAGAAAAGCGCGACATCAGTGCTGAGGAGGTGTACGCAGCCATCGGCCTGTGCGGCGGCAGCAACACCAACCCCTGTGATTGGCTGACGTCAGAGCTGCCTCACCTGCTCGACCAAATCTGCGCCATGGCTGCTTCCGTTCAGCAACCCGCGGAGAAGAAAGTGGGTGAGGAGGAGCAGCAGGAGGAGCAGGAGGAGCACGGCGGGCAGAGCGTCGCAGGAGAAGGTGTGAAGCTGTCCAGAGCCGAGGCCAAGCTGGCCTGGCTGTCTGCAGGAGGAGACATAGACAAGGCTGTGAGACAGCTGCTGAGGGACAGACGAGCCAAGGTGGGAATATTAAAAATGACTCTTAAACACAGTATATTCAAAAGATGTGTTCCTGCTGGAGGATGATACGTTTAAGCTGTGATTTGAGATCCCTATGCCTTTATTAAACATATTATTAATATCCTATGTTTAATGAAATCTGGAACTGATAACATAACTGGGTTTGACCGTCAACCAAAACTAAGCTTGCTGGTTATTGCTCCTTTTTATATCTGATTTCTGACCCTGTAGAATCTAAGAACATCATTGAATATTATCTCCTTAGTAACAACCATCATTTATGTTTGGCTACAGTCAAATATCAAATACCAGTGGTGAACCGTCAGGGCCTTCAAGGTATTCAGAGAATACCCTGGGACACTTAGATAAAACAAACAAAAAATCGATTTACTTATATAAATAAAATGAATAAATGAGAATGGTATCTGTGTTGTTGATCTGTAATATTACAGTGTTACGTTGATGTGTTTGTCCTTCTCGGACCATGCACTACGCATTTCAGTGGTTTTGTGTTAGAAAAGAAAAGCAACCAATCAGATCTTGTTCTGGGTCTCTGGGTAGAACATCCTTCAGCCAAAGGTATTCTACATCCTTGATCGAATGCCCTGGCCCGTTGAACTGAATGAGAGCGTGCGTTTGGACTGACAGTTTGATCAACCAATCATATATTGATTTGTAGCCAATGGGCGTATTCTTTCAGAGTTTCCCTCGGTTCCAGGGTATTCTAGAAGGCCCGGTAGTTCACTGGCTCGAGACAGATCTAGATGAATGCGACGAAGCAATTCATGCCGTTTTATTGTTTTTAACGTGCAACAGGTGAAGATGAAGTTGTTGCGGAATTGTTGTGAGTACCCTTTTCAAGACGACAATTCAATGAAAAGACGGAAATTATAATTCCGCG